AATTTCTAACTATGACTAAAACAATAACTTTTTTTTTTTTTTTTTTTAAAGATTTATTTATTCATATGGAACTGGAGTACAGGCCAGAGATGCGGAGGGGGAGAGGGTTCACCAGAGACAGAGCGGGAAGCAGAACAGGCAGATCTACGAAGTACACTGCTGAGGGGAGCAGCGGGCGGGCCAGGAGAGGTCTGCCACGCCACGTGGTCACCTCCGGAGCAGGCGGGAATCGAACTCATGCGGAAGCGGCCCTAGATTCTCAGTGCTGCGCTCCAACCCGCTGCGCCACCAGGGAGGGCCCCTAAAACAATAACTTTAATAACAGACTTCAATATTAGCTTTATCTTAATCTACAACAAATAGTGTTTTTGTATTTAAATGATATTATATATGTTTTATATAAGTAAATACATATATTTATGTTGAGCCTGAAGTAATACTAGTTATCTCAGAGTTTGATTTTTTTGTTCACATAAAGATAATATCACTTGTATTATGCTAAATTAAAAATGTTATAGGTATAGCTCTAAATACAAAATTACCTTAAATTAATTAGCTCACATCTTAACTGAAATCATAATAATATATTTGCATATAATAGCTTCACATGTATATCATTTAATAATCAATTCACTGGTTTTTACTTATTACATAATGAATGGAAACATTTCATTGTCACTTGGAAGACTGAAATGAAGAATGAAGCAAAATATATTTGTCTCTACAATCATCTGTTTATTGATTAATTACATTAAATAAGCTGTAAGACTTCAATGTAGCAGTTTTTGGTTATTTTTGTCTAATATTTGTTATAGGAAGACCAAAAAAAAAATAGGTATTGTCTTGATCGTTTGAATGAAATGCACTTTTGGAATTTCTTGCTCTTTCAAAGTTCTCAAGATTAGTATCATAAAAACAGAAAAGCAGTAAAGCGTAAAAGAATTATTAGGAGCCTGATGAAATGATTCAGGATTCCAACTCTATCAACTCTGATTAATGACTGCTTTTTAATTAATTGGAAGTTGTTCAATCATTGTACCATTTCATTTCACATAAGAGTTTTTGTGGAAAGGTCAGAACCAAAACATATGCTCGTTCAATCTGAGAAAAGGCATATACTTACACAAGTTTGTTCTTACTGGGAAGGCATGTATGAGCTATTTATTTCCTGGCCATTCACTAGTTTCCTGCTCAGCTGGCCAGGTGGAGCAATGAAAATTGCTTGAGTGTTAGATTATGAATAAAACTTATTTTTAAACTCTGTGAATTCAAACTAAATAGCTATTCGCTATTCTTACTGCAAAATCTTTAATGACTGCTGTTGTGTGCTTAGATTTGTGTGTGTGTGTGTGTGTGTGTGTATATATATATATATAGTTTGTTTGTCCCATCAATAGATTTTTGTATACTATGGATTATGCATAGGAAATCCCAGTTTTGCACATGGCCTAGATACGAATTTAACTTTGAGAATCCACATATTAGGGGCTTCTAATTTGCATATAAATGAAAGTTGCAGTTGGTTGGAGTGACGAAGTCAGCATGTTACCCTGGTGATATTATATACAAAATAAATAGAAGCCCCTACGTTTGAAAAATCTAGTATTTGCTTCCATTGCCAAATAACTATTTTTTTTTCCATTTTCCAAGTGGTGGAAATTCAAGGCTGACTGGGGTATCGAACCTGATACACCTGCGACTTCATTCTATATTGATGGTTGGGAGGATAGAAAGAGACTCCTCAGGGGTACTGTATAGGTGACTAATGAACTATCTGCAAACATTCCTATGGAGGTGGGTAGTGTGGGTCTGCTGTTTCGATGCCAGAGCCTCCCTGGTGGTGTAGGGGTTAAGTTTCTGCACTTTCACACTCTTGCCAGCCACTGTGGTGTGTGTTCAATCTCCCGCCAGGGAGCTGGCCCCAATGACGCAACAGATCTCTCCTGTCTCACCCACTGCTCCCCTTAACAGTGTATTTTAGCAAATCTGCCTGTTCTGCTCCCTACTCTGGTAAATCTACTCACCGTCCCCTGCACTTCTGGCTTACACCCTAATTCCTGTATGCATAAATAAATAAATAATATTTAAATATTGCATGCATTTTGTGTTTGCACAGAAAGAAAGGATAATAGGAAAATTGGGATGAGACTGTTTTCTAATAAATATTTTGTTTGTAGTGGACAACATGTCTTTGATATATAGGGATTATTTGAAGTTACATTGATTATGTCTGAATCATGGGAGAGAATGTAATTTATTTCAAAGTGATCTTATACTCCATAATGTACAAAACTCATTTTCACCATTCTTGCCAAAAACCTTACAAAACTAAAGTTTATTTACTAAATACAATATGGCTAAGCTGTCCTCAACACTCTAGCTAAATAAGTGAAATAACTGAATGTTAGTTTGAAAGGGATGATGAGTGGCATATGCAACTATACTAGGATATAGTACAGGAGGAAGAAATATTCCAAGTGTGAATGGCAATTTCAGGAAAACAACTCAAAAGAAAATGGAGGGAGGAGCTGCTGTCCCATAAAAGGGGAGACTGACATTCTGTTTTCCTGAAAATGTATCTTTTCTGACAGTTGACTGGTTGATCTGTTTCAGGCTTTCTGAACAAGGGTTCAGATTTTAAAGGACAAGGCAGGACAGAGAGACAGTCAGGTGGTAGCCTGTGATGTACCTGTAATGTACAAATAATGGACAGGGGAAGGGCCTGGAGAGTGTGGCAAGGGTGTGCGCAGGTGTTCTGGGTAAAGAAAGTAGAGCAAGCACTGACTTGAGAAGTCATCTATGCACTCTCCTAAGTAGGGTGCCAGGGAACCTTAGGACTAGGAAGCTCTGGAAGGTTCACCAACAGGTACTCACCGCAGGTCCCTATGCAGATAGGACCTGAGCCACACAGAAAATAACTCCAGACATCTCTCAGAAAGAGAAAGCCAGCAGTTCCTTTGAACCCTACAAGAAGTCGAAACCAGTGATGAATTTTCTGGGGCAGATTGAGAGCTGCACATTTCTGTTTCCTTCTCTTTTTCCACTCCAACAAATTAAAGAAAGTATAACCCTATAGACAAGGAATCAAAGTTCCAGTTGCTGAAACCCAAAACGGTGTGGGTTGAAAGTAACTGCCTCTGTAGTATGTCCACAATCTTGCGGGTTGGAATCGCGACAGGTGTATGCACTTGGTTTCATATGGTGCTGACGGAGGAGGTGGTTATGGTGTTCAACTAACAAGCCGTCTGGAATGGCCATTCCAAGATCTGTTCTCTCACATTTCCTGCATGTTGGCAGGTAAGGGGGGAGGCTGATCTGTGCTGAAACTGTCAACACAGAGGATAAACCTGTGTCCTGCCAAAATGGCAGCCACAGAATAGACAGTCTCTTTCACAAGGTCAGTGATCCAGGAGCAAGAAGGAAGCTGGGTGTCCTTTTATGCTAGACTTGCCTTTATAAATCAGATTCGGGGCCCTCCCTGGTGGCAAAGCGGGTTAAAGCACAGTACTGAGAAGCTAAAGCCACTTCCGCGTGAGTTCCATCCCCGCCTGTCACGGAGGAGATCCCACATGGCGCTGCAGACCTCTCCTGACCCGCCCGCTGCTCCCCTCAGCAGTGTACTTTGTCAGTCTGCCTGTTCTGTTCTCCACTCTGTCTCTGGTGAGTCCTCTCACCACCCCTGCACCTCTGGCCTGTACCCCATTTCTGTATGCATAAATAAATAAATCTTAAAAAAAAAATCAGATCTGGGACCCTCCCTGGTGGCGCAGCGGGTTAAAGCGCAACACTAAGAAGCCAAATCCACTTCATCATGAGTTTGATACCCGCCCCAGAGGTAATCCACATGGCGCGGCAGACATCTTCTGACACACCCGCTGCTCCCCTCAGCAGTGTACTTCATTGATCTGCCTGTTCTGCTCCCCTCTCTGTCTGGTGAATCCTCTCACCACCCCTGCACCTCTGGCCTGTACCCCAGTTCTGTATGCATAAATAAATAAATCTTTAAAAAAAATCAGAATCGTATAAAGGTAGTGAAATCAGCTTGGGACTAGGCATCTGATTATTCATGTTTGGAAGCAGTTGTTGAAGATAAACAAAACGGTTTCATATTGGCACCCCACTGAATTGAGACTGATCAAAACCCCTAAACAGGGATGTTTACACTTAGCTCTTCCCTGCACTGGAAGGTGAATTAGCTGGCAGAGTATTTGTGCCAAATGCACTGAATGAGATAAGAAGGAAATAAAATGAGAGATGCTCAGAAGGAATCCACCATTCCTATCATGATGCCTTAAACAGAGGACTGGTAAAATGTTCTTCTGCCAAAAACAGCATTAGTAGACAAATGTCACCACCCCATGCTAACCTGCTATGTTAGGAAGTTGTGATAATACCCCTAGCTGTCTAACTAAATGAGACCCAACAGTAACTCTACAGCTAAAAGATTCTCTTCTGAACAAAGCTGAAGTCAACATGAAGAATCAGCCCCGACTGACCCATAGATTCTGAACAATCTATTGAATTGCATGTGAGAGCTCACAGCGATATTCATAAAGAATCACAGTCTAATGAAAAGCAAGTGAAGTTCATTCCAAAGGTGTTTACAATTTCAGCAAATACGTCAGAGGGGGTGGTTTTATGTGATAATTATTTCCTCCTGCAAGGCTTATGAGGTTCCCAAAAACATAGGTAGGGATTCACTGTGGAAGAGAAGTTGGGATTTGCAGGGATTCCGGAGACTCCAACATGGACAGGGATGAGGTCACACAATGCAGTTTATCACCAGATAGTCCTGCCATCCTGCAAACAGGGCCTCATTGGCAGCTGTCACAGTTTCCCTGGACTTATTCTATGAGGAAAGGGAACAGGTTTCTGAGTTTCCCCTGGAGACCACTCAGCTGTCAGCCCAAAGATGAAAAACACCTGAGCAGGGACTCGTTTAAGAGTGTTAAATCCAAAGAATTGCAGTATAACATCGATTCCATCCGGGCCATACTTACTAACTTTACTCGCAATTATGGAGAAATTATACTGCGCGGTGCTTTCTCTGTCTAGTAATTCATTAGTGGCGATGGTTCCTTCAGTTCCATCTATTGTAAAGTAGCTGTCCCCATCACTCTTCCAGTCTATGAAGTACCTGTGTATAAAGAGAGTAGATGCAAACGTGCAATGATTACACATTAATCATAATGGCAGTCAGGCTAACTTGACACAGTTCCTTATTTTTCTCCCTGTAGCTATTACCCACCTTGCAATAAAGAAGAGTGTAAATGACAGCTTCTTTATTACAAAGTCAGTACGCTCAAGGGGAAACTGGAAATAATGAAAGATTTAGTAGTCCTGCTGTTCATATTATTTTAGGGTCTTGACACCTTGAAAGCTCAGCAGAGACTGAAATTCTAAAGCTGACCATGGGTTTCTTTAACCTGCTGAATATTAAAACTTTTTCAAGCAGTAAAAGATTCCTTAATGGTGGCTTTGGGAAGAGCTGGGGTGAGGGAGGCGCTTAGAAACAGCTACAAAGAACTTCTGGGGGAGAGAGAGAGAGAAAGAGAAAGAGAGAGGGAGAGAGAGAGAGAGAGAACAAGAGAGAGAGAGAGAACAAAAACAGTTTAGAAACTAAAAGATCATTTTTAAACTGACAATGTGGTAATTGTAGAGATATTTTCCTCAAAGGCATATAAAAGGATGTTTTATAACTATATATCAAGATAGCTTTAATCAACAGTGACCTTGACTACCTATGCCTCTTTATTTTTTTTTTATTAGTCAACCTATTTGATAATGACGAAGTGTCTTCATGATGTAAAGTTGGACTGCAAAATCAAGGAAAATATATAAACCCAACCATTGTATTTTTATAAAAGTCTAAAAGGCTGTGGATAGATGTTTATTTTAAATCCATGTTTTCAATTTTTAAGCCCCTGTTTCAAAAAACAGATATTTCAAAATCTTACCATGTGCCATTTTTCTAGATGCTAATAATATCTTACTAAATTTCACAAAGGTTTCAGTATTAAGCATTATTAATCTCTCCATTTTATAGATCAGGAACATGAACTATAGGGACCCAGAAGATTTGTGCATGTTCACCTAGACAAACAGTCTTAGGACTGATATTTGAACCAGGTCATCCATGTTTTCTAGAAAATCATTATTAATTGTACAATTTAAATAGAACACTTTATGTGAATGGGTGCCGTGAATCATAAAGCTCAAGGCACAGATCTCACCATAATCTAGCCTGACAACCAAGGTGAGGGATTCAAGGGGTGAGAACGGATCAGGGCTTCATGCTCTCCGAAGTTATAAATGAAATTAAGTCATTTCTGAGTAGTGAGGGCACAGATATAATTAGCTTAATTCTCCCTATTGTCTAGTCCCTTCTTTGTGGATTAAGATAAATTCGAGTTAAGTATGGTCTTCAACCAAAGAAGAGCCCAGATGGGCAAATGCACATACACAGGTGATTTCAGTGTCAGACAGAAGGACAGAGAAGACAGTAAGAGGGACCAAGAAAAGGTATCTTTTGGCTCAAGCAAATCTTACCTACCTCAAATGGTGTTTGGCTGACACAAAAGGCCTTATAACCATTAAGGAGAGAAATGCAGATTAGATGAGAGGAAAATATCAGGAAGTTGCAACAATAGAAGCAACGCCATTTTGGGGAATGAGAGCTACTAGAATGACAGAGCAATCCCTGGGATTATATGTCTGACAGATTACATGTGCTCTATAATCTATCACCTATGTAGTCACACGTTGAATAAGACATTGTTATACTTATCTATGTTCCAATTTTATCTATTAAAAACAGAAAAAAAATGTTTTAGGAAGAGCTTCAGAGTTCTGTCTGGCTCTCTTTTCTCTGGTGAATTTTTGGGGCCCCTGCTAGCCTCTAAATGAAGGCAGATGTTCTCATTTGTGCTCTCTAATGATGGGACAGTGTGTTCGGGCCCTATATTTTCAGCCTGTTGGGAGCAGAACATGCACCTTATGAGAACGGTTGGGTGGAGGACGTAAGCTGAAAACCTGGCAGGCACACTCACCAGGAATTTAGCCTCTGAAACTTAATATAGTAAGACGTGAGAAATGTCGCCATCTTGCCTTTCCTAGTAAGATGGTCTAGCCATGGACTGGGAGCTGAAAGGAGGGAAGGCTTGTTTCCTGACTGATTCCTGCCAGAGTGGACTTCCTGTGAAGCTGAGCTGGGAGGTGGTAGTGGATGGGAAGCAGCAGAAACTGGGTCAGGTGCTGTTGTCTCTTGGTGCTCTGTCTTTCTTTAGTGGATTTTCTTCAATGAGTGTTTTTCATTTACTAAATGCCTTAGGAAAGTGTTTAAATCTTCCGAACATTTTTTTCACCACTTACACTTTTTTCACAGTGGGTTATGTCCTCAGAGTGCCTCATGCTGCTGTTCTTTAAATGAAACTTTCATCAGTTCTTGGATTTACTTTCTACTCTCATTCATTCCCATTATAGTCTATGCTGTTTTAAGTTTTTCTTTATTTGTATCCTTGCAAATCTTTGCAATGAAATGATCCTTACTCAAAGCTATAGAACATTCACTTTTTAATATAAACTTTGGCCAATATAAAATAATTTATACACTTTCTGGGTATAGGATATCTTTCTTGTTCAAGGATCTGTATATCACTTGAGGCTAACTTCATTCATCTCTCTGCTACCAAGGTCCAGAGATGTTACTTCTCTTTTTAAACAACAATCAGTTACTTAAATGTTATGTCAGATTCAAAGCACAGTTTAAGTTTTCTCTACCTATAATGAGTTACATAATTCTTCAGGGAACACATTTAGGGCTTTCAGAATATCTTAAATAGGACAATCAAATCTCTATGGTTTTCTGAGGACCTTCTAAATTCACTACTAAAAGTTCTTAGGTCTAGAATACTTTTCAGCCCCAGATAAAATTGGGACAATTGATCCCCTCACTCACAGTTAATATGCACTACATGTTATAATTTACAAAGGTCATGCAAGTAGAAATCGATGTTGTGAACTCCTATAGACACAGGTCATTTTTATCGCCAGTTTCAATTTTCCTGATGAAAATTTTAATTTTTAAATTCAGGAACTTAACATACTGTATCCATAAAATAATGTCTCTATTTGTTTTATGTTTCTGCATATCTATCAACCAAAATCCAATATCTTGCAAGTTAGTAAACAAATTTATTTAGTCAGTTCAATCTAACAATGACATAGACTTTGCATTCCATAAATCAAATCACTGTGATTCAATGAAATATAGAATGAAAAACACTAACTTTTGGGCAGAAAGAAGTACGCTGACATACCAATTCCTTCAGCTATCTCGTGCAATTAGATTAGGGTTTTTCCTTCTAATACCTATTTTATTGTAGCCTATACAATTTGGGAAAATCTATGCACCTAATAGTATGAAAGTAACTCATTATAAAGATAAAACAAGGAGAATTTGTATGGAGCTGATTAGATTAAAAGAAAGAAAACTTCTGTAAACCTACAGATTTTTGCTTAGTTCTTGGATCAAGTAGTGGTATACTTAACCTTCAACTTTAAAATACCTGAACTTGGGCCTCCCTGGTTGTGCAAGGTGTTAAATCTCAGCACTATCAAGCTATCTCTAGCCCCTGCAGTACAGGTTCAATCCCCAGCCAAGGAGGTGACCCACATGGTGGAGCAGACTCCTCCTGTCTTGCCCACTGCTTCCCTCAGTTTTATATTTCAGTAGATCTGCCTGTCCTGTTCCCCACTCTGTCTCTGGTGAAACTTTGTACTGTCCCTGCACCTCTGGCCTACACCCCTATTCTTGTATGCATACATAAATAAAAAAAAACCTTAAAAATAAAATACCTGAACTACAAAGCCACTTCAGCATGAGTTTGATCCCCGGCCCAGAGGTGATTCACATGGCACAGCAGACCTCTCCTGACCCACCCGCTGCTCCCCTCAGCAGTGTACTTCGTCAGTCAGCCTGTTCTGCTCCCCACTCTGTCTCTGGTGAATCCTTTCACTGCCTCTGGCCTGTACCCCAGTTCTGTATGCATAAATAAATAAATCTTAAAAAAAATTATGTGTGTTACCTTATACCGATTTGGCAAGCAGATGAAAAATAAAAGAAAAAGATGAAGTTTAGGATTCATACATAACAAGGCACATCTATAGTCCATATGTGCCTGCACAGCCACAGTTGCTAAGGAAACTGTTTTAACAATTGAATAGAAATCAAAAATTAAAGCATTAACCTAATCTGTGCAGGCCATTTGACAGAGTACAATTTTATTACTTTTCTATAAATGAGTTTTCAGAAATGCCTTAGAAAAAGTTCTACACTCCTCATTAGGTAAGCATTCTCCTTAAAATTGTTCCTTTTAATTTACCTAATAACTTTCTCACAGTAAACGGAAAGGCCACCTTTGACCCTGTCTTGATTCTCAAACACATTGTGCAAAACATATTTGATGTTATATTTCCTTGAAAGGTATTATTCTATCTTATTCTTTAAGTAATAAAGATGTGGGAATAACGATGCAGGTCAAAGCATGGACTTTATTTTGTTCAGGTAATGATAATAGATCTTAATTCTTCATTCTTTTCTCCTCTTCTTGGCTAGTGTTTTAATTATATTTATTTGTCTATAGTAAACAATTAAATGAAAATGAAGTCAGTTCAATTTATCTCTAAAAACATAACTGAGTCATATATAGCAACATTAAGCATATAATTGCTTCCTTAACAATTCAGATTAAATTATTTTTCTTAAGAATCAAAATGTCTCTGAAACTTTGTTAAGTAGTGGTTACCATTTTCTTTGTTTCTGTTAGCTTCTTTGTCTATAATTCTCTTCCTCATTTGTACTCTCCTTTTAGTGAAATTAAACATTATACCTTATTTCAACATCATATTTGTTTTATGAGAAATTACGTATCTTAAAAATTATAATGATTTACTAAGGTCATACTATTCTAAAGTTTTCCATTTGTATGCATTTAATATGATTAAAATGACCTCTAAATATAGAGCACTATACATAATATACATATTACTAAAATCAATATTTTCTGCTATTATTACTTTCCATGTTGCTTATGTTTCCTTCCAATTTTAAGTAATTTTTATATAGTTATACATAGT